TTAGCTAACAGTTACCTCCCTTCGGTTTGCGATGTAAATGTAAACAAAACAACCAAATATAATGCGGGATGGAAGTTTTACGATTTTATTAACTTTTTTTATAGATGCGCGATTTTCACGCACATGATTTTGAATTGTGCGCGATCTGTGAAATACTAGCGAGAATCGCGCGATTAGAATAGACACTGTTGAATATGTTTATCTTATTGTATAATCTACAATGCACTAGCTACAAAACTCCCTAGGGGCGTCCGTGGCCGAGTGGTTAAGGTCGTTGACTTCAAACCACTTGCCCCTCACCGCTGTGGGTTCGAATCCCTACAGGGACTTTGGATTCTTTCATGTGAGGAAGCTATCCAGCTAGCTTACGGAACGTAGGTGGTTCTACTCAGGTGCCCGTTTGTGCCTGAAATAATGCACGGAGGGGCACCTGAGGTCTTCCTCCATCAGTAAAGCTGGAACGTCGCGATATGACCTATACTGTTTCGATGTGACGTAAACCCCCCCCCCCCCAAAAAAAAAACTCTCTAAATTCATTCCTGCATAAACAAAAAGTCAAGTAATTACCCACTGTTTTTTCTTGCAAAGAAGAAACCATGCATAAACAACCAACCATTAATGACTTTGTCTGGATCTTTTTACACGCAGAATAATGATAAAATTAAATTCTCAACTAATCCTGCTGGCAAATATTTACCTTGTATCTCAGAATCTCTGGCTCCATCTGCTCTATTGGTCTTCCATTTATTTTAACCAGTCCAGTCCCTCTCTTACAGTGGGCAACAGCTGTTGCTGTTTTCTGCAAAGAATGAAAGCTACTTAACTATGGGAGATTCCAATATAAAAGTAATATGCAGGGCCAGTAAAATCTGATTTTGACTTTCATGTCAATATACTATCTATATAGAAAAATTTCTTGAACACTTCCCCTTGTCCGTACAGGCTGTGGGCCAACTTGAGCAATATGGGAGAATTGATTTTGCTGCCCCTGTTATACAACAATAAATGTCTTAAACACAAAGAGGATTTATAAGAACAATACAGAAAATATTTATTCTTTCAATTCATTTTCTTCCAGTTTCTTACTTAAGCAAAGAAATAATAATTGTCTGGTTACTGTGACATGTTAAAAAAAATAGGGTCGGTAGGTAGTTAATTTTTTTTCTTCTCCTCTCGTTAGTCAGCTGCTTATAGCATATCCCCGTTTTCATTGTAGCTTAATGTATTAACCCTGCACATCACACACTATCTCCATACTGTATAGGGTATGATATCATAAGATATTGGTAAAATTAACTAAATTTGATACCTATATTTGAAATGGAAAATAATGTATTATTATTTAAAGTTGTGTTTTGACAATTTTGTGTCACTGTAAAGTTTGTAGAGAAATGAAATCCTTTTCCAATGATGTAAATTTCGTATCTATGGTCTTTATATAACTCTGGTTACAGGGGTTATAAACTAATAACATAAATAAAATTTCATATTTTCTGTCACAGTTTAATTTAATTTAACCCCTAACCCGATTGGTAGCTATTTATGTAAATACTTTAAATAACACCCTAATTTTATGCACGGAATGCCCTCATTAAATTGATCTCAAAGATGTCTTACTTACAGACTATTTTTCGTATTAAAATAGCGATTTTTGGACATGTAGAGTCGACGATTCTCACTTCCTTGAGATCATGCAAGTGGAAGATTCATACCTTCGCATTTCACACAATTCGTAATAATTTTGTTTTACTTTTAAAAATCAGGAAAAAAGTTAAGGGTTGGGGGAAAAAAAAAAGGTCGGCCAGGTCACCGTAACCACACATATTTTTTTATTTGGCCTTATACATGGAAAGTTGTTTGAAATAATATTTTTTTAATTACCCAATTATTTCATAAAGAAAAATCTCTTACTTTACGTCCAAAAACTTGGACTGCCTGGGAAGCTCCCTTTTGAGGCATCCTGAAATACAAGCAATCAATATTGTTTTCATCCACATATTTACAGTTGTAGGGTGTGAATAGCTAATAGATTTGAAATGTAAAATCACAGCTTTAGATGATGTTTTATAGATTCCAGACTTAACATTTTTAATACAAGCAAATATCACAGACACTTGGGGTGTGGAGCTTAAAACCCCTTTAAAATACAAATAAAATCATTTTATGTATATTTGTCAATTTTTATCTTGTGTATTATTATAGACGTTGAAATGTAATTTTTTCAAAACGGCTTATATTAAGTTTTTTTGATATATATGATCAGTCGTGTGCTGTGATTGACAAATATACATTTGGATTTTAAAGGCGTTTTAAGCTCCACACCCAAAGTGTCTGAAGCAAATATTAGCAGTTATTCATCGGGAATTTCTTTTATCCAGGGAGACATAAGAAATATGTATTGGAAAAATAATTGGTGACTGTTGATTTTGTTGAATTATTTCCCCTGTTGGTGGATATAAACAGTGTTTCATAATCATATAAAAGCATTTATTGTCACAAATTTAATCTAAAAACTTAGTGTATTAATCATAAAACACCTTGTCTGGCTTTGTGATTTGTCTTCAAAAAAAATTATTTCAAACAAAACACTTTTTCTATTTGTTACTGATCAAGGCTTTTAGTGGAAGGCCAAGTTGACAATTATTGCCGAGTTGGTTCTGGGCCTATGGCCGAGTTAATGATATTCAATTTAAGATCTTTTAAACACACAAGTTTGAATATTCATTATTGTTCTAGATTATTTTTAAGACATCCTGCTAGCGTTAAAAGTGCGTCTAGGCTAGTCGCATGTGACTTACGTACGGTTAAAACGTTTGGCTAGCAATACGGGCCTGTACGGCTAGCCAATGTCGATGAATAAACGCGAAAACGTGTGACAATTCAAGTTCATTGATCAGAGTAGGCTAAATTCTTTTGCTCGTGGAAAATTTTAATTAATCTGATGTGCAACTTGTCAAATATATTTAATGACAACAATTTTGGCTTAAAAAATATCAGTGTATGAGCGTTTTTTTTAAGTGATTATTTCACAAACCTGTGTTCTGCGGAAATGAAACTAAAAAGGAAGTACAGCGGGTTGTACACGTGCTTTTCCAAAGCTTTAAGACTAAAATCCTCACCAACCTTTTGGGAGCCGTAAAATGTTAGGATACAGAAAATAACCTAATTCTATTTGAAAGACCCTGATTTCGGTAAATGAATTTTTCATTACCGGATTGAAATCACAATTAAACAGTTTATATGAATTTCAATTAGATCAAATACAGGCTGATTGAACATAGTAGAATAAAAGAACAGTAGGAAAACCCTTAATTACATGTAGGCCTATTGTGATTGCAGTCATTATTTAATTTTATGATTTATTTTCTGATCTATATACAGATATATATGTCTGTATAAATATGTATTCCCGCACAGCAAATTTCCGATCAGCTAACATAAATTTCAGCAAGAAGTAAATTTATGTGAAATTTATGAAGATATTTTTCTTTTTTAATTTCATAAATATCATAATTTCTGCTGATAAATACAACTTTTTTGGAATTTTGGCTGAATCATTACTATGCATTGAGGTCAAACCATTCCTGACCTAATTTCAAGTTGTTAAAAAGTTCACCGTTACTTTTCCGTCAGTTAACAAAATCTATTCTGTACCACCAGGGTCTTTCAAATAGAAAATATTTGAAAGACCCTGGTACCACATAAAAGTGTCATACATGGACATTGTTAAAATATAACCAAAATCAATTTTGTATGAAGAAATTTTGAAGAATTTCCACTCAAGATAAATGGCAATGAACAATTTTAACATATATTTAATGGTATTTTTCAGTCACAGTAGTATGTGAAGCTGTCACAAAGAGGCATCGATAAACCTCTCATTTGACATAACAGAAAAAAACACATGCTCATGTGAAATTGTTTGGCCAAGTACAGACCCTTATCATTATATATATATATATATAATGGTAAAACTACTTAAACTTAACTGAAAGCTACAATTATGAATGGTACATTAAAATATGTACGTACTTGTATGTATACTAGAAACATAGCCTTTTAGTTTAGTATACATTTTTTCTTTATGACAGCAAAACAGCTGCCCTGGAAAATGTCCATTTCTGCAGAGTGCAGGCTGATAAAAAAACTTAGTCTGTAAATCATATCATTTTAAAAATATATGTAACGATATTTAAATAGACAATTTAAGAATTAGTGGACAACTTATACATTACATATTTTGAACCTGCCCTCTACATACATATGTAACTGACATGCTTATTTAATAATGTATCCAAGTTTAACACAATACACACTTGCAGTTCGTTCTCTAGAAATGACTACATTAGATGTCATCAACTTTTGTACATAAAGACTTAAAATTAATTTCTGAGAGACATGCCTGCTGCTGTCAATTGTAAACATTTCATAGACACGGATATTTATATTACATATTTCATTACTCAGTGAAATATATACAAATTGCCATTAAATAATTCTGAAAATGAATATCATAAACAAAAAAAAACAGCAACGAAAAATAACCCTCAAAAGTTAAAAAAAAAAACAACAGCAAAAAACCCACAACAAAAACAATTTCAAAAAAAACAAAAAAAACGTAGGACAGATACAGGTCTGCATCATGTAGGGTGCTTCAAAGTGATGTGATAGTTATGTATGGCAAACACTTCATTGGCTGAATTAACAGTAGAATTTCAAAAATACTTCAAGAGGTTTGAAACCCTTTATTTTAAGTGGCCGTGACAAAAGATACTAATGATATTCGTTAATTGTACTTTTCCAAGATTGAAATGAAGCTTTTTTATTGTTAAATTTAAGATAATTTTGACAGAAATATTAAATAAAGATTAAAATTAATACATATTTTTTTTGAATATTAAATTAAAGCCCGTGTTAATATAAATGACTTGTCCACTTGTAGGCGAACATAATTATGTACTTCCTCACGCGTATATTGTGGTTCTTTGCGAATGAAAGAAAAGTGCCGGTTTTTTACTCACAAATTAAATGTTATGTTTAAAATTAGACATTACCCAAAGATTGCGCGGGAAAAATAAAAGTAAACAATAGAATCGCTCCCTGAAGAAATTATTGTAGAGGTAATATTTGTAGGAAATATTATGTTATTCATGTACAATGCATATTTTATGAATTACCAATGTGACAAGTTACCTTTTACGACTCACTTAGCATGAGGTGTTAGAATGCAGGGGCATAGCTTGAAAGCGACCAATTAATGTGTACAACCACAGGAGCTTGAAATTCTATCAATAATCGCTCAAAAGTCCGATTTAAAAAAAAAATCCATATAGGTATGGATTTTTTTTTTTAAATCAGACTTTTGAGCGATTTTTTTTTATATATAGGTATGGATTTTTTTTTTAAATCGGACTTTTGAGCGATTATTGATAGAATTTCAAGCTCCTGTGGTACAACTAGTGCTAGAGGGTTTTTAGCTCGACTATTGGCAGAATAATCGAGCTAATGCCGTCACCCATTTGTCTGCATCACCCATTTGTCTGCGTCGGCGTTCCTGTGGTTACATTTTTGCATGTAAGCAAGTATCTCCATTACTACTGAAGGGAATGCATTGAAACTTCACACACTTGTTCTCTGTAATTATCTGTGATTGACACAAGTCCCATAACTCTGATCAGTCTTTCCGAAAGACCGTCGGACCGTCGTCCCTGACCGGTAAAAAATCAGAAGGTCCGATAAAAATATATGTATTGACAGCCCGACGGTCCGGTAAAAAATTAAGGTTTTATAAAAACCTTACATTCAACATTTTGCAAAGGCCGATCATTTACCTAAATTTAGACAATGTAAGCTCGTGCAATGCTTGTCAACTGTTATGCATTCTCATAATGCAAACTTTTATGTAACAACGCAAGATTAGGGTTGGATATCATTTAGAATGAAACGATACGATACGATACCGATACTCGTGAAACGATACGGTATTTTATCGATACCGATACTCGATACTTGAAAGTGTATGTTTGAGCAGCCCTTTTCATTATTGCTATTGTATTGTAGGTATTTTATTTTGATTTGTTTTATAATGAAATAAAAATTATATTCAAGCTTCTTTGTGAAATTGCTTACTATATTCTATATTCTTTGAGCAGTTTTTCGGCTTCAACGAGTCAAATAGAGTACATCGTTTTATTTGTAAATTGTGTTTCAGTCTCAGGTATTTTATTAAATTACTGGTATTTCCACCTTTCCCAAGGCAAAACGTTTGGAAATAAATGCAAACACCACCTCCTTTAGGAGTGAAATGTGCCCTGACCGGAGACCGCTTTGATCGAGACCCCACCATAATATATATATTGTTGACATCAGCAACGACATGTATAAAATTCGAATATTTTAATAAATATTGCAGAAATGTTTAATAGCAAGTAACAATAATTTTTGGGAATAAAAACCGAATAATACATCAAAAAGTGATCAACAAATGCTGTATCAAGTATTTGAATTTATGCAGCATGTTACTATATACGAATATCGCCGCTACCACGTGCACTCGGTAGTGATCTCCCTTGACTTGCACTACGGACATTTCGGACCATGGCCATTTCGCATTCTTTTTGTGATATTATTGACGTAAATAATCGTTAATTTTATTCATTTTCCTTTGTTTTTTTGTAAATATTCTTTGCTTTTAATTTTGAAAATACCGTAAAAAATACCGGTACTTTTTGAAACGGTATGTACCGGTAAATTATGAAACGGTTTTCGGTACGGTCTAAGTACTGGTTATCGGTATCCAACCCTACGCAAGATAAAAATATCCGACAACTAGTACAATTAAAAGTCAATAAGCGGCTGCGTAAATTACATAAGCGGCCCAGATGTGAAAGTTCACCCGCTATTAGTTTGTTTACACAGTTGAAAGTGTCAGTGTATTAATTGGAACAATTTTCGTCTTTAATCCACAGACTTAGAGTAATGCTAAATTACCTGTGTGCTCAACTGGTGCTTAGCAGCGAATTACAAGGGGAGGAATCACGCCGTTCGTTACCCAAACAAACAAGATGGCGGATGCAGCCAAAAAGTAGGTTTTTCCCTTTTTTCTCTGAAATTCATGATGTTCTTGTGTAATGGTACATATAACAACCTTCTACACAATTTTCCTGGCACACAGAAATTTATTTCATGGTGTTTCGTCCCGTACTTCTTCTGAAATGCGCGTCACCAGATTCGAAGCGAGAGAATTTTCCACCGGTTTGATCGTGGTAACGTACGGCTTCTTCACTCAAATTCTCTGTTTCTTTACATATGTGTATATTAACTGAAACCACTGACTTTAAAAAGTTGTAATATGTTGTCAAGTAATCATTCATGCCCATTTTGGCTAGATTTACTGATGTAAATATTAATATCGGGGCATTTTCCGGAAATGATAACGTATGGCGTATAAAATATCAATGATAACGTACGGCGCATTTTTCTACTTGGTGGATTTCTATTTGTCCAGTCTTCTTCTTCTTCTTCCGGGTAATGTGCTGGGCCCCTCTGGAGCATTGTCGCACAATTGTGACTATTTACATGAGTGAAGGGAACATCAAGTGCAGCTAAAAACAGGTTAAAAACACCATGCTCCAGAGTTACTCGTGCAGCGCACCCATCCTCGTCTTGAAGACCTCTAGGGACGGGGCTGTCATCACGACTTCTGGTAGGCTGTTCCAAAGTCGGATCCCAGAAGGAAAGAGCGAAAACTTGTATGAGTTGACACTGGTAAAGGGTTGTAGGTACCTGTTGGCATGGCCTTGGGTGTGTACTCCAGCAGGGATCAGTATGTGATGGGCTCGGATATCCACCAGGCTGTTAATGACTCTGTACATCATCACTGCTTTGGTTTGCTGACGGCGGGCTTCTAGAGTGTCCCAGCTTAGAGCTTCCATCATTGAAGTAACGCTCCTGGTGTAACGATAATCACCTGTGCAGAACCTGGCTGCTCTTCGTTGGCAGTTCTCGAGCTTACTGATGTTGGCCTTGGTGTGTGGGTCCCATACTGATACTGTATATCCCATACAGTCAGCTGATAATAAATTATTTGTATGTAGGAAATGATAGATATTTGAAAAAAAAGTTTGTCATTTCAGAAATAAATTATTGAACAATGGTGCACCATCGGGTATAATCTTTCTAGCTGGTGGCATAATAGATATTCGTTGTAAATATACCAAGTAAAACACACGTTTATAGTTTGAGAATATTTTTGTATAAAAAATGCAGAATGGAAAGAAAAGCCTCCACTTTCAGGAAACATTTGTGTATTGTTGTCTTCACATTAAATTTCGCCAGTGCTGTGTGATAATTATGGTCTTATCCCCTTATCAGAAAGAAGAAATGCATTCACCAGAGCAAAAATGTTGAAATGGTACGGAAGACTTGATATATTTTCTTTTCCAAAATTACTTTAACAAATTACTGATAAGAAAATCTTAGTATTTGAACCACGTCAAACATAAACAAAACGAAAAGTGATTGCGAAGAGGAGATGAGCCTGTGTTTATACAATCTGGTCGCTCATTAAAAAAATACATAAAAGAGAATAATGAATGAGTATAGGTTCTATATTGAATTTATTGAATTAGTTAGAAAATAATGTTTTGCGAAAAAGTTCAATAAATTTATTAAATAAGAAATTTCCAGTTTATTTGACGAAACGTTTTCTATTTAGCATGACGTTGTGCCACTATGACGTCAGATATATTTGCACGATATATATCCTTACAGTTTTTTATTATAAATGATTTGATTAAAACAATTACATCCAATTCATAAATTTGCCTATCATATTTTGGCTTTTTTTCTCGCAAACGCCCCAACAAAAACAATCAATCTCTTACAAAATAGTATTGCAGGTATCAGCAATAAAAGAGTGTCATTGAAATTTGCGGTAAACATTTTACCGACCATGATAAAGTTTCATATCGGATTTGGATTTCGATGTTTTATCCATGTCCGAGAACCCGTCTGAAATCATTAAAGCTAGACCGCTCATGAATGCGCTCAGATGACGTCATTATCTTTATGAAAGAACAGCTGTACAAGTTACTACGCTACTATGATAATAGTGTTTACAAAGTATATGTTAGTAACGTATTATCATAGTAGCGTAGTAATCAGTGTTCATCTGTGTTGTTCTACAGAATTTAGAAACTTTGACAGGAGCGATAGCAGCCGGAGAATGTTTCTTATTTCCGTAGAACAGCTACGGATGAATACTAACATACTTAGTGTCAAGCTTTATTTGGCTTCATTAATATTTACTTTCTTTCGTCACTATACTTGTCTATTTTACGTACACATTTCTATGAAGCACTATGAAAAAAAGAAGTTTATGTAGTGTCCAAATTTATTTCTCACCCAATGAAAGCGCTGTATTTCTTAAAAAAAATATGTTCGTTAATTTTCATTGATGAACAAAAGATGATACTTTATCGAATTCCGTTCATAGTCGATTTCTCATTTTCATAATAATTCATAGAACAGCATAGTGACGTAATAAAGTGCCAAAAATGCTTGACGCTTAGTATGTTAGTATTCATCCGTAGCTGTTCTACAGAAATTAAAACATCTTTCTGCCGCTATCGCTCCCGTCAAAATCTATAATTTCTATAGAACAGTATGGATGAGCACTAACATATACATAGATATTTGAAATTTGTGATCAAGTTTCACTTTGACGAAACTTTAAGATCACCAAAGGTGGAAAAGTTGCTCTATACTCGAGTATGATATGCAAGAAAACATATCACTCGTGATTACCTATCGGATTTTAATATCCATCCCACTGGCACCTGCACAAGGGCTTACGTTAGTAAGACTCGTTACAGCCCAGTGCGAAAGAGCCCTCGGATCGGATATTTCTATCCGATACAAAAGCACATGACAGATATTATGCAAACAATAAATAATATTCAGTTTCTTTATTTGGTTCTACGCATCCTAACTGGTAACATAACTTTTCTCTTATATAGAAAATCAATTAAGCAGACTAAAATGTGCCGTACGTTATCATTGATATTTTGTGCGCCATACATTATCATTTCCGGAAAATGCCCCGATTTTAATATTTTCA